TCCGGAATTCAATGTCGGGACTGGGCTCCGGAACTCAGTCCCGGAACTGAGAGTTGCGGGATGGAGTCCCACAATGTCCCACACACAGTCCCGGACTGGATTGAGTTCCGATCTGAGAGTGAGACTCAGTTCCCGGACTGGTTCCGGGACTGGACTCCGGAACTCAATTCCGGGACTGGGTTCCGGAGCCCAGTCCCGGAACTGTGCGTTGCGGGAAGGGAGTCCCATACCCAGTCCCGGACTAGACTCCGTTCCCGGACTGGTTCCCCACACTCAGTCCTGGCGGACTGGTTCCGGGACTGGACTCTGGAACTCACTTCCGGGACTGAGTTCCGGAGCCCAGTCCCGGAACTGAGAGTTGCGGGAAGGGAGTCCCACACTCAGTCTCGGGCTGGATTGAGTTCCGGACTGAGTGAGACTCAGTTCCCGGACTGGTTACCCACACTCAGTCCCGGACTGGACTGAGTTCCGAACTGAGAGTGAGACTCAGTTCCCGGACTGGTTCCGGGACTCAATTCCGGGACTGAGTTCCGGAGCCCAGTCCCGGAACTGAGAGTTGCGGGAAGGGCAGTAGGGAGCCTAGTCCCGGTCAGTTCTTTACTTCAATTCCAGCCCAGTCCCGCAACTGAGTTCCAGCTCGCTGACCTCCGGAGCTCTGGAATTTACTTCCAAAAGAAATCCGGACAACTGTGATTGACAGGACTTGCTTCTGTTAAGTCCTTTGCTTCAGGATGTTTCAGGGAGCGGAGGCAAGTGCTTCGGTGGAGGACCGTAGTCAGGTTGCTCAAAAAATTTGCGAGGTGATGGAGCAAGGCGGCGGGGAGCCACACTGCGCAGACCCTGGAGATTGCCACACGCTCCCCAAGCCCAGCGACACTGCAGCTTTCCCCAAAACGATGCCAGACTTGGTGAAGTTGGTCTCCAGCAAAGGGGGATCCGCGTCTTCCAGCGCTTGCCTGGAAAGGCTGACAGCTTTGGCCGAGCCAATGAAGCGGCTCAGTGCCTTTGTGCGGCTTCACGAGGGCGTGCTCTCGAAATCCCAGGCCCAAGCCAAGACAGCGTCCGCTGCGGCGCGCAACCCGCGCAACCAGCTCGAGCACGAACTGAGCCTGGCGAGGCAGTGGTCTGCCTTTGGCGGAGCACGCACTGGGCGGCTAGCTGCTTGGTTTGACAAGCAAAAGGCTGTGGGCCGTCAGGCGCTTGAGCAGCAGGCAGAGCATGCCGGCCCTCTGCACAAAGCCGTGGAGTCCTTGCGCCCGCTGTGCCACGATCGACCGCAGATCCTCCTCTTGAAAGTGGTGCGGTCGGGGCTCGTCGCCACCTATCGCATAGGTGTCGTCCTTTCAGTTTACCGGGCGGCCATGCTCAAGTCAAGCAGCCGGAGGCAGCGCGCCACGCGAGGCGTGCCAGCGCCATTGCCAGCCGAAGCGGCTGCATGCATTCACTGCGCCGAGTTGCAAAGCTTGGGGGACGACTGCAAAGCTTGGTGCGTGACGGCGTTGAGCCAAGTGCTAGAGCTTGATCCGTGTTCGGAGAGGTGCGCCCGGACTTCATGCAAGACACGGAGACCAAGCTCTTCTTGGAGGTTGGCGAAGCCAAGGCTTCCATGTTGAGGCAGTGGCTGGCAGGCTCCCTGGAGCAGCAGGACGTGGGCGAGGCCGTGCAGGACGCCTGTGCTGCCAAAGTGTTTGCCTCGCACGGTCATGTTAGCATATGTTAGCGCTCCCCCAAAAGCCCCAAAGCAAGACCCCAGCAAATGCTTGTTCAATCGCTTTGGCACGCACAAATTTCTTCAGCTGGATCCCTCGCAGGAAGGGCCTCTTCTCAAAATATTTCAACATCAAACGGGAGAATGGGAGTGGATTAAAGATGCTTAAAGGCTCCGGAAGCTGTCAACAAGGCCTAGCTGCAGCGGGCTCATTTAACTTCCCCAGGGCCTTTGCGCAAAATCAAACGAGCCCGCCTTCGGCGAGGTGTGATGGGAGATAATGGGAGAGGTTTAAAGGCTCCGGAAGCTGTCAACAAGGAGTAGCTGGGACTGGCTCGGGCGGGCTCATTTAACTTTCCCAGGGCCTCTGCGCAAAATCAAATGAGCCCGCCTCTCAACAGTGTGCAGCGGGACAGGGCAAAAGGCTGCCTTCCCGCACAGGATGTGGACGCGAAAGCTTGCTTCTCCATCCACAGCTTCACTCGGTCCGCGTGCGGGTATGCGGCCATTAAGCAGTTTTTGCTGCGACTGCCTGGCCAATGGGCTGCTTGTGGCGCCAGTGTTCTGGACGGGCAGGGCTGCATTCGCGTCAATGATAAAGTGAAAGGCCTGGCTCGGGTAAATTAACGTAAGCTAGCCACGCATCGTCGTTTTAAAGTGTTTAAGCAGTTCTAAGTTTGAGCCCACTGTTCGAATTCATCGAAATGCAACCTTCCAGTCGTGAAAGTTAATCTGGTTGTTGGAAGATGTTGGAAGATGTTGGAAGATGTTGGAAGCAAGGGCCCCTTGTTGCTTTGTCCGGGTAGCTGTTCTTGGTGTTGCTTTGTTTTTTGGGCTTAGGTAGTTAATCAACCTGTTGGTCCCGATGCCAAATGTGCAGGGAATGGGGGCCAGTTTTCTTTAAGAAGTCTTTGTTTGGGTTGGACAACAAAGCGACTCACCTATTGCCAGTCTCTGCGAGCCGCTAAGACATGCTTTGTGTTGAAGCCACTCAAGTAATCTCAAGTATTTTGCTGGCCTGGTGGAAGGCGCCCGGACCATCGCTTGGGCTGATGTGGCGGAGCGGGCGCGGAGCTACTTTGATGTGGTTGCCGGCTCCAACACAGGGAAAACCCACGAGTATTCGGCGCTTGTATTCAACGAGTTCGTGTCACTGATGCCAGAGCCAGGAGTGGCAGGGTTGTGAGATCAAGGGGCTTCTGTGACACAAGGGAATCTCACCCTTTATACGGGGGGTTGGTCTTTGGGAAGGCTTTTTTGTTGTATCACAGAAGTAGTCATTTGCAAATATTTCCCACAGCCCTGGCCAGGAGGGTCTCCTCCGCCGAGCAGCAAGCTGAAATCTTTCGCGGCCCAGGTAGATGCAGTTGCCCAGCCGCTGCTGCGTTTGGGGTCTTGATTGCCAGCTGGCCTTGGCTTTTTAGAACTACAGGATGTTTTCTTTCACAAAAGCAAGTCACGTTTTGTCGTATGCTGTCATACCCCCATGGTACGAGCTGCGTGGCGCTTAGTCACGCAGACCAGAGTCAGCGGTTGACTGTTTGGTGGATAGTCAGCGGTTGCCTGACTTCCAAGACGCGCGCTGAAGAGGGGTCGCGTGTGAAAAAGGTTCTCTGTAAGCAGCTTTGCTACTTGTGACTCATTTGGCAGTGAAATTTTTTGAGGGGTCTGTAACAGAGCCGCGGCGGACATTCGTTACAGACCTCGTTACAGACCTCTGTAGCAAGACCAGCTGGCTCGTTACACACCCCTCGTTGCGCACCTCTTGTGACACACCCTCGTTACACACCCTCGTTACACACCTCAGATGAACAAACCGGGCCAGTGACATGATTGCGTTGAATAGCTGCAATCAAGCTGGAGCTGCCGAGGCGCTTTGCAAACTGTGCTTGCTTTGCCTCGTTACAGACCTCGTTACATAGGCGTCACATACCTCGTTACAGACCCAACCCCAGCCCAGGCCAGCTTTGCTTTGCCTCGTTACAGACCTCGTTACATAGCCGTTACATACCTCGTTACAGACCCAACCGCAGCCCAGGCCAGCTTCGCTTTGCCTCGTTACAGACCTCGTTACATAGCCGTTACATACCTCGTTACAGACCCAACCCCAGCCCGGGCCAGTGACCCTGCTTTTCGCCACAGTTTCGCGCTTTGCGCCCTGCGCTTTGCTTTGCCTCATTACAGACCTCGTTACATAGCCATGACATACCTAGTCGTGCTGCGCTACATTGTGCTACTGATGCTGCTTGTCAGGAAATGTTTGTCCCGTTACAGACCTGTGTAACAAGGACTCCGTTACAGACCTCCGTAACAAGATTCGTGGCGCGTCGCGCGTTACAGACCCCCAAAAAAAAACATAGCCATCTAACGATCTGGAGGGAGGCCGGTTATTAACGTGAAGCACCCGCCCAGGCTGAGCGTGCTCGTGGTGTGAGAGCGGCATAGAGCGGCGTTCACTGACAACTGCGCCGGTCCTGGTAAAAAAAACAAAAAACAGGCTGCTCACTCTTTCGGCTGGAGTGCAGTATTGTTCGAAGGTTATCTTTAATCCCTACCCCAGATATTGAGGAATTCTTCTTTGGCTTGGGGCTTCCGAAAATTACGATCCAGGATTAGGTTGTGAGGAACAGGACGCAGAATAGTTGGCTTCATCTCATGGTTTTCCCATGATCTCACGGCAGCCCACTTTGCCCAACTTACATGGGGATTTGGGGGGGGGGGGGGGACCTGGAAATAGAAACTTACATTTTTCAGGTCCCCCCCCCCTAAAGGGCCAGTGATCCCTTGGTATCCTTGGAGTTGGTTGAGGAGCTGACAACCGCCTTGGGTGACAAAGATAACCATGGTCGAGCAAACAAGCAAACCACAAGGCATTTAAAAAATCACAAGCAAATACTTCCCATAAACCCTTCCAGGACCCTCTTGGTCGTAAAGAAACTGAGCGGGTGGTGTTTGCCAGTGCCATTCAAATCAGAAGCGCCTTGCCTTGGACGCTTGTTTCATGCGGGAACTCAGGTGCTCTTTGAGAAAATCAAGGGTTTCCACTGGCGAAATAACCATGAGTCGCCAAGTCAAACCAGAATCGATGTTCAGCACAACTGACCTACGGACACCCACCCACGAAAAAGGTGCGCATGGATCCCCTTGTGCCAGGGTGCGTGAAAACCGCTTGTTGGGCCCGAGCTACTAAAAAACGTGCTCCTGCCTTTGAGCCTTTTTGAGCCGGTCTGTTCTTTTTTTCCCCGCTGCTCCTCTTACGCCCCGAAACGCCGCCGAAACAGCGGCCAACTCTTCAGAGACATCCGACACTGGACGGCTCTCGGAGCACCTCCTCGCCCCGTAGCTTGATCTCCGTGGTCAAGGCATCTTGACCTCTGCAGCCGACACTACGTGCCGAAAGCCTGTGGCACCACAAGTCGGATGCTCAGATTCTGGCAAGCGAATCAAAAACCAACTAAAGCATCCTATCGTTGATGTGACCTAAGACACATGTACCAAATAGGGACTCCAGGCGATAACACTTGAGCCAGGTTTCACCGCGCCCATAATACCGCACTTGGAGCAAAGAACGCTGGAGTGAATCAAAGGCCCACCTCTGGTCAACCAAGCACGCTTGACGTGACTTCGGGCAAAATCAAGGGTGCCTGATAAGAATGCCTCATCCCTGCTGCCAAAACATGAGATTCATGTTGCTGTCCGAGTTGGTTAAGGCCACTGAGCTCCGTGTGCCTCAACTGATTCTTCAGTCAGAATAAGTTATAAGCTTTCTAAAATATATCTACCCAAAACCATGTGAACAATGAAACAGGGCGGATAGCAAATATCCGCAGCTTATGTTTGGGACTGTCGCCTACCCTTGCGTCCAGGTGTTGATTGCCCGGTTGAAATTTTCACAGTCCTAGCCTGACTCTCGCACGTTTGTGGCCCCCGGCAGGCCCGCATGCGGTTCTCCATGTCCTCGTCACCTCAACGGCAAGTGACCCCAGCAGCAAAAGGGAAGCCTTCTTGGATGATTGAAGATCACTGGTTCAATCTCCTTCTGTGATACTATGGGTCGTTCGCTTTAAAGGGGATTCCCTTGGCCACTCGCTGGCAGCAGCAACCGGAAACCCTGTTTTCCACTGCTAAACTAGGCGCTCTGGCATAATGGCTTGAAAATACACGGCCCTTTTGGTTTCCTTTTGGGTACCGGGCTGTTGATCGCACCCTGCCATGGCCCCAGCGGTGGCACGGGCCCTGGGCGCCCTGCAGAACTTCTGCTGCACGGGGTCAAAGGGCTTGGTCTTCCGGAGCTTGTCGGCCTCGGATTCGCTGAGACTTGGAAGCCGCTGCATGCGCCGCCATCGAATCATCGAATCCTGGACCTGAGTTGAGTGAGCAAACAGGAAGCTGCCGGTTTCAATGCGGAAGGGCATGTGTAATGCTTTTGGAGAGCAAAGGGGCATGTGTGAAAGTGAGCGAAATGCAAAAGGCAACCGCCCGTTTCAATGTGGAGCGAGGGTTGTCTTCGACAGATGCGTTTGCGAAGCATACGCCTCGTAGAACCTTACCTCGGGTCAACAAATGGCATGGTTGGAAGCGAGCAGCAAATGGAAGGAGGGAAAGCATGTGTTGCATTGCGTAAAATGAGGTCCAAAGAAACAAAATATCCAGATTCCCTCAAGGAAAGATAGCACACTGCAAAGAACATGCTCAGTTGCCTTGATTGGACGCACCCTCTGACCAGATCAAGCTACCAGTTCCCACGACTACCGAGACCCCCCTCTAGACACCCCCCCCCTCTACACAGAGCAACCGCCGCGCTTTTCGTGTTCAGCGGGCGGCCACTGGGCCCATGTCTCGTCCCTTGAGAAGTACATGGTGTCGCTGGTTGAAGCTCAACCTCTTGAACACCCATGTTCCGTTTCAGATCGATTCATGATTGGCGATCCAAGCAGCAGACAAGGTAAATGAATGCGGTGGGGATAGAACCTCCGGCTTGCCCTATGCTCCGCCCAAGCGTGAACCTGTCGGCTGGTCCCAAGAGGCCAGGCAGAAACCACTCAATTGGAGGCACACCCATCAGCACTTCCTAAAAATCCTCAATCAAGGATTCGATCAAGGAACCTTCATGGGATTTTATTGAGCTCAACATGCCCGAGGCCCAAAATCCAATCTGGTGCCATCTACCCAAAATCTGCTCGACGCTTGGGCTGCCGGCTGCCTCTAAGAGGTTGAGCTCCTGATCCCTCGCGATCTTGGCCTCCACACTCCAAGTGGGTGGGGGGCCGTGTAGGAGGGTACCCTGCAGGTTGGTTTAAGCGGAAACCACAAGGTCCCACAATATTTTGACACATACGTTTATTCTTGTAAACTTGCAAACTTGAAGACATTGGGCCAGCGAAAGGTGGAAAGGTCGGCGTAGGGCAACGACCTTTCAAGAACATGAATTGCACCACTAAGCAATCTGCTCCATCTGGCTCGCCAATCTTGCAAGAGGCATGAGCCGCCGCAGATTCGAACAAGTCGGCTGACCAAAACCCACAGCCAATACCAACACCGGTTCGGCACCGGCTCATGTACCATGCTTAGCCCTGAGCGTTTCATGCATAGTAAAATGTTAGCATGCATCTTGTCCCCACGTCCATCCCAAACCCACGAAATCGGAACAACCGGTTTTGCCCCCTTCCGCAAAGCGAAACTAGGCATGGGGAAGGGTCCTTTGAGGCCCGGCACCCCGCCCAGAGCAACATGGATGTCTTTTGAGTTCGATGTTCATCTAGAGTTGTAGGTGGTTCAAACGGAATCACGGAAAATGTTTAAACACCCCTCAAAAAGCAGCCCACTTTAGGGTGGCCAGACCTTTGATCCGCGTGAGGTACCTCCGCCCCAGGCAGTTTGCGTCGCGAAGCGAGCGATTGTTTCGGCCTCATGGTGCTCACGGTAGCGGTTGGTCAGGATGTTGAAGTCCTCTCTCTCTCCGTGGCCGGGGAATGGGAAGCATGGGTTCCATAGCAGGGGATCCTTCTGGAGCGAAGCATTGGAAGCTGGCAGAACGAGCTTGGGTTTGTCTCTGGAAGCCCTCGAAATGGCTGCGAAAAGTCAAACTCTCCTTCGGATTGCAAAGAGCTTAAGTCGCGCTCAACTTTCGGTCCTCCAGCGCTCGCAGCAACGGCAACTGTCAATAACAATCTGGTTTTCCGAAGAGCCGCGTTGCTTGGAGTTAGTTCCTGCTACTTTGCCAAAAAGCAATTGCATTCAGAGTCAGTTTGATATGATCATGATTGCTTCTGCAACTGTTTGACAGTCCAAGACCTGAAATAAGGAATCCCCAACCTTTACTTTGACCTGGGATTCGCTCGTTTTACCCAGGCTCCCCCCCCCCGGCCGAATCTGTGAGCTCGAAGACCATAAAACATGTTACATGTCACTTGCCTCATGTTTACCAGTTACATGTAGATGAAACCAAACTTAGCATCTGTGGAAGGCTTCCTTGAAGACCAACTTTCCTCTTCAAACAGCTACGTCTGGTGCCCCCTCGCCCATCCTTGTGCAGCATGGCTGGGATGAGGCGCTTTTTAGGCACACGGTCCTTCGGCACGGGCCTCGTCACGTGCTCGTCGCGTCGTGGCAGGCCCGCAAACAAGCGCAGGGGTGTTCAGTTCACGGAACCGCGTCTCCAAAAGTTTACCTAGATCACCCCACCAAAAGGAAACTGACCGGCAAATCTTTTTCAAAGGCCCAAAGGTGATGTTTAGATCTCCATTGGGCGGTTTCCCTTTGGTTTCCCATTCAACTCCGCTTGGGTGAGATTGAAATTCAACATTCTAGGGGTACCTTCCCCGTTCTTTCCCAGGGATCCTTCTTTCTAGAAAACCTGCGGAAACGCAGGGACTACGGATCCGGTTTTTGGAAAGAACGATGGTTGAAAAGAATGGACAAGGAATCAACCCTAGAAACATGGATGGTCAACTTGGTAAGTTGCTTTGGTTCCATCCAGGGTTCTGGCCACCAACCCCTTTTCACCCATTCATGAAACTTGATAATTCTGTTGGGAAATTCCCTGACCTGACCTTCCCACCAGGCCTGACCTTCTCACAAGGTACCTTATCCACCTCTTGTCCCATTGTCTTTCAAAAACCAGTGCCGCCTGTCCTGTTGGTTTCCTTTGATCACAACCCCAACAAAGAGCACCCTCCAAAAAAAGAAACAAGTATGTTGGAACCTTTGTGGATCTGCCGCGGAAGAGAGAACCCTCTCTGAACGTGGCGGAGAAAGAAACCTGGCAGCCTGCTTTGCCCTGTTTGTACCCAAAAAAAACGTCACGGCCCCGACCAAGGCTGCCTGGATAGAAACTCACAAAACATCTCCGTGTTCAACATCTAATTCAGCTCTTATTGTAGTTGTGAACAACCAGCCAATGGCCTGTCTAAAGAAATCAGTTCCACGGCTCCCAGATGCATAAGGTTTGCTGTGTTGTTGGTTGTTGGAGGGGCCACCCATGTTTGAGGGTGCCCACCCTTGAAGTGGGTGGGCTGGTGCTGCCGGGGGGGGGGGGGGTTGCAGTTCTGATGTTTATAAAACTTGACATTGTAGACTTTGATTAAAGCCTTAAAACCAGCTCTTTTTTGTTTGGGGTCGGGGTGGAGTGCAAGGCCCTGGCCGTTCATCCGGATGGGCCCAATGGTGTTGATCAAAGGACACGTTGGAGATGATGTTGTAGTCCGCTGCCGTGCCCTCAGCCCAAATTCTGCTCTGACCCGATTGCCGCTGAACAAAGGGCAACAGCCCTTTTTGGCTTTGGGAGCCCAGGCAAAAAAAAAAGGGCAGGAGGGGTGCAACTGAAATAACTGAACTTGGGCCCTTTCAATTGAAGGTTTAGGGAACCCACTGAAAAGATCTGAAAAGTAGACTCCGCCCTTCCGAAGCACAGCCAAAGACGTGCAAGGCCCCCCGTCGAGCCGGGAAGGAGCAGACTGGGCGGGTGGCCAAGTGGCAGGAAAGGGCCGCTTGGGCTCCTTTTCAAAGCCAGGGTCTTGATGCTGCGGCACCAAAGCTTGGAACTTCCTGGCCGGCGTGAATCGAGGAATTGAAGGCTGAAGAGATAGTAGGAACAAAAAACAAGTCAGAGCCACCACCCTTCATCAAAGCAATTGCACTGGTGACCAAATTTGGGAAACTTGCTGGAAGCTAGCATTAAGCCACCCGAGATCACGTCAAGTTATCTCACCGCATGGGGACACCACATGGAAGCCGAAAACGCATATCAGCAGTGATCCGGCACACAACGCATGTCAGCTGAGATGAAGATACATCGCAACCACTTGAAGACGTTTGTATGTGCAAACTCGGGGGCCAATACTCGGGTCCTCAAAGGAGATTCCTCTAAAATGCGATGGCCATTGGGGATCCACGTTGCCTCGCGGACTCTCAAGGGAGGTGGTGGGTGGTGGAGAGGGCTAATCCTGAATTGCCCATTCGATTGCATTGGGTGTATGGATAAGTGTACTAGTCAAACCCCCGCCCGCCCCAAAGAATAACCATGCAATGGTCTTCCATTAAAAGTGACATCCTCAACATTACCCTCTAACGGAAAGCCACCCCCCAATGTATTTTTCAGAAAATCCTAAACATGTTCAATGAGAGAGACCCGATTAGGTCCACACACTGCCCTTTGCACAATGGATCAATCCCATTTCGTCACCACGTAGCACGGTGTTCTCAACAAGTCATCCCGTCAAAAAATGGAAATCAAGCGTTTCAACATCGACTGCCCGAACTGCCATAGAACCCAAAAGGAGGATGCACTTGACATCGCATTTTCGCCTTGCAAGGCAGTCTGCGGCTGGGGGCGAACACGATGAGAGTTCGCACCACTTGGGTGTTCAACTTCCCAAACCACACTGTTGCCCCAAGGAAAGTCAGGCAAGTCTTGGTGGGGTTCAAGCACCCAAGCAGCCTTTGGGGGCTTCCGAAAGCCCGCCCTTTCCAAAAGATGCCCTGCCATGGGGCCCCTCAGGGCCAATGGCTGGAAGGGCTGGCAACTAGAAGGCCAGCTAGACTCGCTAGACTGGGTATTGCGTGCAAACTGTACAAAGCAAGATGCTTCTCGAAGCGTGTTCATGTGCTCAGACTGTGCATGACGCAGAACATTGGAATTCCATTAGGTTAAGGAATGGCGGGGATGCCGGTTGCCTCCCCAACTCAAGATGTCCTAGTTTGCCAACATCTCCCAACTCCATCATTGCAAACATCTTCCAACTCAAGATCCCTCAGCTTCAGCAAAGGGCACATTCTCACCGACGCTGCGTCGCTTTACATCGCCTTCCTTTCGTGGGCACGAAGCAATTTCAGCGCAAGGGCCAGCGAAATAGAAGCGAGCACGCTCGAGATCAACTCGGTGCCGCCCGGAGACGTACTCATGGCCCGAGGCTGTGCGGCACAACTACCTTGGCTTTGGCCCGCAACTAAAACTGGGAGTGGATATCATGCTATACTGAATCAAGGCTAACATGCAAAGACGCGACATTCCAAAAAGTCCCAGAAAGGGCTATTGTCATGATGATTGGTCACATATTCTTATAATTGTAATCATCATGCAGGGGAGTTGATACTTCTTCTTCTCCGGGAAGTGGGGGACAGCAAAGGAACCGCACAACTCTGCCAGCCGAACTCACCGGGGCTCCCCTCTGAGGCGGCACATTCGTCTCAAGCAGCGAGAGGAAGGGCGTCTTGAATGGGGAAGCGATCGATCCGTCCTGGAGACCAAGACAGGGCTTACCCGCTGGCAGCAGTAGCGAACCGGACAGTGTCGCGGAAGTAGTGGCCGCCCTTTCGCTGGCAGTTGAATTTTGATTCGAAGCCCCTCCCAGAAAGGAACACTTCTAGGGGGTACTTTTCTATCCGCTAAGTGGGTATCAAGAGGCAAACCCAATCCAAGTCCCAGGTCCGACTCAAGCATGCATGAAAAACAGAAAGTCCTCAAGTTGCAATCTGCGCCAATCGTCCCTTTGGTTGCCACGATTTCAACCAGAGACCCCCAAACACGGTGGTTCTGCAAGGGCTCTCAGAAGAACCATGCTTGCCAACAACATCCACTTCAACAGACTCTACTGTCGACATGAGTTGCAGGTCATGGCTGGGGTCCCTTTGGTTTCCTTTAATCATGCTAGGAAAAGCCGCTCTTCCCTCTTCAAAGCCGCCAAATGCTTGCAAGCAGCAGTCCTTGCGGGGACCTTTGGTACCGACGGCCTTGTCCTGCCCAGGCGTCTAAGCTGTCTCCACCCCCTCCCCCCCCCCCTCCAAAAAAAAACAAAAAAACATCTCCCTGGCTCCCTCTGCCGTTGCATCAGGAGGGAAGGTACCGATTCCACAGGACACCATATCATGTCTCTTGGCTCGTGAGGACATGTAGGGAAGTGGAAGAAACCTTGCAGGGGACGGGACCCTTTAAAAGACCGTTTCCCTGAAGAGTTCGCGGCCTAGCAACAAACCGTCTCGGCAAATGGAGGCAAAAACATGCAGCAAGCCAAGTTTTTGGAGCTTTCGGCCAAGTGTCGCCCACCGGCATCTCCTTCGCTACCTCAGCTCTTGCGCCAGCCAAGATTATCTGTTTTTGATTCTGGTCCATGCCTAGTGAGATGGCACAACTCTCTTGATGTGGGTAAAAAAGGATCACTAGCCAAAATGGGTTGGCACATCTTGGAATGATGCCCTTTTCAGCCCTGGTGCAAAAGGAACCCACAACAACGTGTTCTTCCATGTTCTTCCTCTTTTTGGCGCAGAAACCTATTTTAACATGGTCAAAAATAGGGCCCCGCAAAAAATAATCAGGACCCCCCCCCCCCCCATACAAAAAAAAAGAATGAAAAAGACACGTATACCGCGTATACCCAGAGGAAAACGAACGCGCCGAGATCCCACCTCCGGCTCCTTCTCCCTCGTCGTCGCATCTGGGCGCAGCTCACGGGTCCAGCGCTCCAGGCCGGCGGGGCCCCAAACGCCCATCGCGGGACTTGCGGGACTTGCGAGCTGCGAGCCAGGCGGAGCCAGGCGGCGAGCCGGGCGGTTCAAGAGACCAAGGGCCCATTGGGACTCACTTGGAATTTCTGGCAGATGAGTCGCGTGCGTATGCCGCACCAGCAGAATGCCGTGATTTGGATGACCAGCCGAGCTACTCCCTGGGCCCATGTATATCGCAGATAATTAGCAAATGATGTGGCAAAGGACCTGCCAGGCTTGTGGTGATGTGGGGGAGGCCAGCAAGACACATAGAAATCCGCTGTTGCTCTCTGCGGTGGATGCGATCAAGCTGGAATCATGACAATTGTCCGATGCACATGGGGTTTACCTGGTTCAGGGATACCATTGGCAAGAGTCACACACCTCAGGGCGAATAGCATGACGCTGGTCAATAGCACCAATTCCTTCTCACATGAGACGACAAGGGGCCTGGGGGCCTGGGCCCTACCCATCATGGGACATCACCCCTCATAATTTAAAGCCATATCCCACTTATCCCACTTGGGGTAGTTTGAGCGTCCAGTTTCCAACCTAACTCATCAAAGAGCAAGGAGCATCCCCGGTGTTCAACCCACAACAACTTGCAAGACCCTCCACTCCTCTCCTCTAGCGAGCAACCGTATACGGCACAAAGAAGGGCCTTCTTTGGGGCAAACTCTTGGGGGCGTGGAACCCTGCATGCTTGGAAAGTATGTTGTAGCCACAGTTGTGTGAAAGGAGTAACCCTAGTTGTGCCTCTTAACCCCTGGTACACGTAAGTCATATGCTAAGTAAAAAAGGGCCGGACAAAAAAATAAAGGGCCATGGTAAACCTGCTACACTCCTGTGCCCCCACTCACAACATGCAAACACCTACTAACACCTGCATCCTGGATCTTTCACCTTCAGCTCTTTGAGATGTGATCTAATCCTTGTTTTCCCACCAGCAAAACCACGTGGCTTGTTTCACCAAACACCAGCGAGCCACCAACGCCAGCGCCTCTCGTGGGTCACGAGGTCGAAGGGCGCCTCCCGTCGCAGCTGCACGTCCCGCGCCAGGTTCAGGAAGCCCCGCTTGGTCTGGGCGCATCGGAGTGTCGAGGACTCGAGCTTTTTGGCCAGGAGGGGTTCTGGTCGTTCAGACAGCTTTGGATTTTGGAACGAGGGGGGGACAAATTTTAAGAATGAGGGGGGGTAGGGCGGGGTGGGGGGAAATTCAGGGGCAGACTTTGGGTCTCCACTGAAACTCACTTCCTGAATTGTTACTGGCCACCAAAATCGTCTTCCCAAAAAGTTACGTCCAGAAACTCAGGAAGTGAGTGAAAGGGCAACACAAGCAACAGGTCCAAAAAGGGGCCATAGGTTTTGACAACCCTCAAGTAAGCCCAAGCGATTAAGAAGGCAATCAGATCTAAGTTGTCCTTCTTCCGCTCGGAAGATGGAGTGAGGAGCAATTGGATCCAATCTATCAAGGGAAGGGTCCAGAATTCTGAAAAAGCGGTGAAGCACAAAGGGCAAGGGGTTCCAAAGGCTCACCCAAGAGCACAGAAACACAGAGCCAAAGGTCACGTACCTCGGGAGAGGAGCAAGGCCATGCGCACTTTAACATACTGAATGCGTTCTTAGATTGACATGCAGTCATATAATCATGTAGGCTCGGCTCAGCATCGATGCACAATTCAACATATCAATTGGTGCCATCATGACTGTAAACATTGCATGCCTCAGAGACGTGCGTCTGTAAGTGTTTATAATAGTGTGCGAATGTAGATGCCATTGGAGTTATGTTCGGACTTCGCCAGAGGCTGTTTTAGTTGACTTGGTTGGATCATGCAGGTCTTATTGCAATCTGCTAATTCCAGCATACTAACATGGAACCCCAAAAGGGGGGCCCTCTCGAGGGAGATCCCTCTACTAGTCTACACGCGATGACTTTTGAGTTGCCATGTCAATCTGCAGAAGAGTACCGACATAACAAGTGCACCAAGCACAAGGCAACCAAAACAAAAACATGAGTAAAGTTGCGGGAGCAATGTATGAGGTTTTCGCTCTTTGATCTTTTCCTTTGTTTGGTTAAAGCCTGCTTTCCATGGCTACCAGTCGATGGATCGACTGGGCCTTTGCTTTTCGGCCTTTGCAGCGGTCCGTGTTCTTCATGCAGACCCCCACTTAGCGAGCCAGTGGGTGGGGGCACCCTGGCCCTTGCTTCATCCCCCTTGCAAGGAGGCCTGAACATAGGTGAGCAGTGTGGCCCCCTGACTTCGCCAAGACTGGGAAACAACCAACAATTCACTAAGCAGAAGTGTGATTCGTAAGCACCATGAGTGAGTGAATTCGCTCTGGTAGTCCAAGCCTGGTCAAAGAATAACAATGACACATATTGTTGCACGCTGCATGTTAGCATGGATCGATAGGGATGAATTGCGGAGAGGAAGCCAGCTCAACATGAAATAGGGACCACCAAGATGGGGTGGGTTGCCACTGAACTCCCTTTACTCGGTTGCTTTCTGCTCCCCTGTTTAAACAAAAAACCTTTTAGTGGTTTAATGGAAAGCCCATTAGTTGGCAAAAAGTTAAAGTCCTAAAATCCAAGCAAAACCCCCCAAAGATTACCGTGCCCAAAAGGGGGTCAAACCCAAAAGGCACTGCCCAAAATATTGGCCCACCTCGTCCTCGAAGCTCTGCTGCTCCTGCTCCCGTTGAGGGTCCAGGAATCGTCCCAGCAGTGGGTTGAAGCTCCGCTCGCGCTTGCTGGTCTCCCCCCGCACATAGCCTCAGTGGCAACAAGGCAGCTGCACACCGCAGCTTGGGCAATGAGGTTGTTTGAGGGTCCCCGAGTATCTGCACTATTGTCTCAGGGCATCTCGCTTCGCGGCTGGCGGCCCCGTCTTCATAGTACACCCTCCACAGAGTGATGTACATCTGAAACCGGTTGCTCCTCAACCCTCCGAGGTGATGAATGCTAGCTTCGTATTCTACGCCCCCAGAAACGCAGCTGAGTAAATCATTGATCTAACCATATCGCCGAGTCCACATGCAAGGAATCCCTTCACGGGCTCTGGTTTCAACAATCCGTTTTCGGGGCCAAATTGATGGTCTTACCGAACCATCGAGAAGCGGAAACACTTGACAAAGAGCGTTTGTTGATTGCGGCGCGCATTAAATGAGTCCTTGAGTTCTGGGGCCGTGGAATTTGTGGATGGCTTGTTCCACGCTGCCCCGAGCCCCGCACAGTAACTGGGCATGGGGGAGATTAGACCTTCTGAACATACAACACTAAGGACGTTCTTGCGGGGGGGAGGCTTTGCAAACTTCAGTGGGGGCCACCAGAAACAAAACAATGGCCTAACAGCGTCCTGGGATTGATATGCGGAGACAATGATTAACCTTGCATGGAGGTATAGCGGCTCTGTCCAACCTCTACATCTATCCAACTTATCCGTCCTCCAACTCTGATATCTAACTTCATGCTGCAACTTCTCTAACCTCTAAGCTCGCAGACTCCCAAGCATCACTAGCATCTTAGTCTAGCAGAATGTGTTCCTTTGACTAAGCAAAGCTATCTGACACGTGTCTAGACTAATTAAAGGGTGCGGATTTATTTTGGGACTTTTTTTTGTTTTCCCGTTTTGTTTGATTGTTTTTTTCGTTTTTCGTCCGGGCCAGTAAAATGTCGTATTTTACAGCATTTTCTCGCGAAATTGACGCATTTTGCACTAGCCCGTCAACATCCCCAGCATCGTTTTCAACATCCCCCGCATGTCCGACCAACATCCCTAGCATCACCCACAAATCGTGGGTAACAAATTCCTCAAAAAGTAGCTGGCGGGTTGACAGGGTCAAAAAAATAATGTGTGGTTTCTGGCAAAACTTTGGCAACACATCTAAAGTCAGCATCCGCTGATCCATCTTTTGGGACTCCTTTGACGTGCCCGCCTGATGCACCTGAGGATCGCGGTGCAATCTCACCTTTTCATAGCCATCTGTCTCAGGGACTCTGCTAGCTGTGCACTCATGCTATGCAAGCTCTGCCCTGAGCCAAAAGGGGACAAAGCAAAGTCTATTGCGCAACGCGCGCGATCACACCCCCCCGCTTTGCGAGGGACGCCGCGAGCAACGACCCTAGATCGCGCCCTCGCCAGGCACAGCTTGGGCGTGCCTCAAGAAGTCAACATTCACAATGACACAGCCTCTTCTGCTGCAAAGGTCCGTCTGGCTGCCAGCTCGCATTCTCCCAGCCATCTCGGTGTGCACAGATGTGACGCGACACAACAGCGATCTCCCCCTTCTTGACGGTCACTGTCATCCTGCCACGCTGGAGCTCTTCTTCATTGCTGGTTTCAAGGGCAGAGAAGTCCTCAGCTGCAATCACTTGTTCTTCTGGCTGAAAGGCAGCATCATGCTTATCCTTCAGGTCAACAGTGAGTTGACGAAGTTCTAACCTGAGTTGCTCCAAGTGATCCTGGAGGCAAGTCAGGCCCCACTTCCGCAAAGCTCCATTCCATGGTTGTAGGCATCGGCTATTGGGCAGACCACATCTTGCACACGCAGACTCTTATCCTTGCCATGGAGCATCAGTGATGATTTGAATAGGGGTGCAATTAAATCTCTGCAAAAAGTCTAAAAACTAGCGGGGGGGGTTGGGGGGGGGGCGGCAGCCCCCCCCATGATGTTCCAAGAATTGATGATTCAACTAGGGGTGCAGTTAAATCTCTGTAGAAAATCTAAAACGTAGCGGGGGAGTTGGGGGGGGGGCGGCAGCCCCCCCATGATGTCGGAAGAAGTGATGATTCAAGTAGGGGTGCAATGATTCAAGAAAGGGTGCGATAGAATTTAAAAGGTAGCGGGAGGGTTGGCGGGGGTGGCTTTCCCTATGATGCTCGAAGAAATGCATACATACAGACATGGATTGAACAGATTAGTATTTTGCAGCATTTTCTCGCGAAATTGGGCGCTCGAAAAAGTGATGATTCAAACAGGGGTGCAATTCAATCTCTGCAAGAAATCTAAAAAGTAACGGGGGGGAGGCGGCACCCCCCCCATGATGTTTGAAGAAGAGTTGATTCAAATCGGGGTGCAAACAGTAGCGGGTGGGTTGGGGGTGGTGGTGATGCTGATGATGCGGGAAGCCAAATCCAAAAACCAATGAAAGGGCGCAAAAGCCCAAAAGCCCGAAGGATGCGAAAAGCCAAAGCCGCCAAAAGCCGCATAAACCAGCAAAAGCCAAAACGCCACCTGCCGAAGAGGAACTGGGAATGCAGAGGATGCGAAAAGCCAAAAAGCCACCAAAAGCCGCATAAACCAGCAAAAAGCCGAAAAACCCAGAAGCCCAGAAGCCAAGAAGCCAAGAGGCCAAAAAGCCAAGAAGCCAAAAGCGAAAAAAATCCCCCAAAAAAACGAAAAACAATTCCAAAAATAAATGCCCTCCCTAAATTAAATCGGCCGACACCCCCGCCAACACCAGCGGCTTTGTCTAGAAATGTGTCTTCATTCGGAAAAAATAGATGCCAAACGCGTTTCAAGAATCATTCTAGACTTATTGTGCACGCGAACGGCGGCTGCAAACCTGCCGCGGGCCGGAAAGCGCCTTCTTCCCATCACTCGCCTGCAGCGGCGAGCGGTTCTTGTTTCGACCCAGCAAAGAACTAAGCCCTGAGCCTGCTTCGGGCGCCCGCCTGAGGAGGGCCGCTTCCACCTGAAACAAGCAAGCAGCACGCTGGCGCGCGCAAACCAAGGCGCCCAAGGGCCCAGCTGAGCAAAAGCGCCGCGATTCGGCGCCGGCGCCGGCGGAGCGGCGAAGCTCCTCGGGTCCTGGGAGGACGCGTCGCCGCGCTTTGCGGCGGCGGCCGGGCGCGAAATTGAGGCCAGGGCAAAGAAGGGCATTCCGAAGCCGTTCACCTCGCGAAGTGCAAGGCGCCGCGCGGCGAAGCGCGCAGGCTGAGGTGGCGGCCCAAGTCGTGCGCCACGGGCGCCGCTTGAAAGTAGAGCCCTTGCTCGTCCAGGCGGGGCGCTCCGCCTGCGAGAGAGCGCGGCGCGCTTGAGCGAGACAGAGTTGCGGGCTGGGGGCAAAGGCCCGCGCGCCCCGCAGGAATCCCTCGGCCTGACAGTCGCAGACCTTAATTGCTAGTCCGGGGAAAGCCGTGGGCCGCCGTGCCTCCCCCAAGTCTCCGCCGTTGGCCTTGGCACTTTCGGGCTGTGCAGTTCTCCTGCGCGGCTTCGAAGACTCGGCTCCCGCGCCACGAACTCCGCCTTGTTCGTGGCCTTAGAAGAAACAATTCTTGCTCGCGACTGAGCGCAGCGCGTGAGGCCCGCGCCCATGTCTCGAGGATGACCTCGGACTCCGTGGCATCCGGCCACCTCAAAATAAGGTCCTGAGCAGACAGGATAGGAGAGTTGAGAAAGCTTCTACGATTTCCAGGCCTCGTCGCTGAGGTCCTCCCATGCCTTACCCTTCAAAGAGAACATGGGGATCAAAGAATCGAAGAAAGTAGAAGCAATCGGGATGTCTTGCGCACGGCGAGAGCTTGAGTTGCTGAAGCGGCAGCGCGCGGCGCAGATTTGGAAGGTCGCGGCAAAACGCGGCAACCCGCCGCGAGTGTGGACGCCCTCAGCATCACCGAGGTCACAGGCACAATCACGATGGTCACTACTCGTGCCCGGAAGAAAAAACCTGGTGAATTAACATGGAAAGTCTCAAACCTGGGACACTTCCCTAAAAAGCAATTGAATGAATCCCGGGTTCCCATTCCTCTGACCCGCCGGAGAGCCGACAGTGGGGCCTTTGAACAGGTCCGGGTGCAGTTTCACCCGTCTCTCATGCCTGGGCCGAGGATCAAACCCCAGGCGGCCCAACAAAAACCCAACACCCAGGTCCAGTCTCAACCAAAGGTTGAAGCCATGACCAAAGAGAACTTTCGGTGGTAACCTTTTGTGACTCCCATTCTCGTGGTTTCGGATTTTCGAAAACAAGCCTCCCCGTTCAAAAGCCCGGTGAGATCCCTAAGCCAATCCAGACTTGTGTTTGTGTGCTGCCCGCTTAGCGCTTGTCAGCAAAAAACGTCAGAACGTCAGAAGCTTGCATGAGAACACATGCTCTCCGCCATTTGCTTTGGAATGAAAACACGCGTGAACCCGCATTCAACGAGTGGATGCCATCCCAAAGTAAAAACACACGCGAAGCCGAAAGAGGAAATAACACGAACACATAGCATGGTCTCTGAAGGGTCGGCATTCGCCTTCCGTGTGCTTTGGGGTGCTGGCGCCATGTTGGTAAAAACAAACATGTTTAAAACATCTTTCCTTGTTCAAGCCATGCTTGGCAAAAATCCATCCACGAAATCATGGTAGCGCACTGGCCCCTTTGGTAGGGTGTTTGTGTGGAAGGGCAGACTGTGCACTTGCATGTTTGCTGGGGCAGTTTAGCAGTGATATTCGGCTTGGGTTACTGCAAGCAGACCAACCGTGCCCACAATGTTGGCCATTTCAATGACGGGCCCAAAGTTGGCTTCCATCCCAACGCATCGTTTGCAGCAGGTGACGTGGAGAAGAAATGCAAAGGCCCAAGCAACAGGGATCATGACTGTTGAAATGGCCACGAATCTACAACCTTTCATCCTTGCTTGGAGGTCACTGGTTCATGAGCAACCATAGTAACATGCACTTAAACACGAACAACGCCGAAAACTACAAGGCTTTTTGTTCTCAGCCAATTTCCTCCAAAGGGGACATTATACAGGGGTTTGAGTCCAAATAGGGGCCCCTAATGGTGGTGTTTTTTTTGGCTTCCCTTCAAACCAGCCTGAAAAGCATGCCCGCAATTCAATACACCCTCACCCTGACCACTCCTTCACTCCTGGGGTTGCCAGTTTCCAGCCAAACTGCAACGCCTCAAGTTGTCAAGCCCAGGGCGCTGGTACGTTTGCACCTCCTCTGCCCAGCTGGCCATCGCGTCTTGCCTGAGGCCGGGAAAGCACCGGCTGCAAAGCTGCGGCCAAATGGACGTGTGGTACACTAATTGTTTTTTTCTGGTTGTTAAACAGGAGGGTTTGAAAAATATACTGTCTCAATCTGAATAGTCTGGCGTTGGCTTTCAGTTACATATTTGTCAGCCAGCTAGCCGGACTTCAAAGACCCCCTCCATGAATCGCTTGTTGTATCCGCGTTCGGCGAGATCGATGGGTGTAGAAGTGAAAACCTTGACCTCAAGGTAACACAAAGTAGACTACAAGCATGGAACCTGACATACAGTCAAACGAAACATATGCCTTCGAAGTGCTTCGCGGATTACGGGCCTAACCGAGCAATATGAATGCATGGATCAAGCACGGCCTGATCACCTTGGACATGTCCACTGTACATTTGGCAGATTTCCCGATGCTGGGCGCCATGGAGTTCATCACACTTCAAAAAAACAATGCATCGCCTTGGCCACAGGGCTGACATTCCTTTTTGGTCAAAGGTGCCGGCACCGCGCGACCAAGAAACGTGACTCTTCACAAAGGATAGCCTCAGTTTATGGTTGTTTGGTAGGCTCGGCACGATGGAGAGATTGCCCGCCAAAATCATGGCTAGAATGGCTACATGAATTTACAAGTTGAACTTTAAGAAACACATTCATAAACGTATAAATGCCTCAGGAAAGCCACATAGGCCTTGATCTAAAGCTTTTACAGAAAATGCGCTTTGTGGGACTGGCCCAATTCTTTGATTGAAGCCACGGGAGTGGTCCCGGGGTATATCCCAATGTCTGGCATGGCGTCTCCGTGACAAGACGGCTACAGACAAGTACATAAATACCCGTTCAAGCCACAAAGGACTTGTTGACGCGGTGGCAAAGCAGCGGCCGTTTGATTGATTCGCCATGGATTCCTTCTGGGAAAGCCAACAAAAATCAGCTAGGTAGCACCCAGCAATAAGATGGCAGCACTGGAGGTCTGGGCAACATATCGTAACACATCACGCGGGCAGTTCATGTGCCGAAGGGCAACGGCTGAGGGCCCTCAAGTAGCCGCAGCGCCGAGCCGGAGCGGCATATGGGCCAATGCCCTCTCATCCAGTGGATTGGCCGAAACTAGAGCTTGCTTACCACCACGGAGGGTTTTCCCCAAAATCTCAAAGACCATGAACTCAGGAAGTGAGAGAACAAATGGAACCCAAGGAAGCCCCCCCCTCCCACCCATCCGCAGCAAAGATTCTCAGAGACCGGAGTTTAGGGCTGTGGCCAAGCTTCTAATCACCTAAATCCACCTTTTGGATTTGAGCCAATCCTTGGATTCAAGGCTTGGCCAGGGTGTCGTGGGACCAAGTTTGACCACCTGGGTGAGTCTGGCACACTTTGTAGATTTGCCATGGTGGTATGGCGGGCAACGCCACGCAAGCCGAGTAAACCTGCCCCGTCCAGTGCCCCAATGACAGCAGGCGGAAGGCCAAGATCGAACGTAACCGAACCCAAACGCCATATTGTCTTCAGGAGTCCTCTTCTTGGAAGACTCCGTGTTTCGTTCGAGCGAGTGGTGCTTATGGCTTGTCCTTCATCGGCATCTTAGCAGTCAAGGAAATGACATGCCTCCCTGAAAGGTCTTCAGACCCATTCTCGCTTTGGAAGAAACTTAGCTTGGACGAGCAACACCCACATGTTGACGGTAGTTGAAGGCGCACCCTCTACCTCGCGACTTCTTTTTCTCGCAAATTCTGGAACTGGGTCCATGAAATGACATCCGGGGACCCAGTGAAACTCCGATCAAATCAAGGATCCCCGCCCGGCAAGGGAAGCGGAGCTCGCTCCAAAGAAAGTCGGGCCTGACGAATTCTTCGGCCATCTAGGAGCGAGCCAAACAGAAGAGTGGTGGTTAAGGAAAGCAAGGCGCCTCTTGGGCCGTTTAGGCTTCAAGATGAATCCATCCCAAAAAGGGACTACTGGGCAACTGAGCAACAGGAGCGACCTGTGAAACTCTGTGGCCTGCGGCTATCCGGATGTCGCAGTTGGATTTAATTATGTTCAAGCGCCGTCTTGCTCGAGGCACCAAGGCAGACGCGTTTGGGTTTATACAAAGTTAACAAGCTGGTGGTTCAAATCAACGCGACCCCCAACAATAATTTTGCGGACAACGCAACATGTTCAATGTCAGGGACCCAGCGCTACACACTGCACATCTTCATGGGAATGCCTGGCCCTCGTTTTGCCCGCCGCCTTCGGACTCCGACGTCCACCCACGCGCCATGCGCCACACTCGCGCTCTCAGCGCGACATCCTTGTGGTGCGCAGCAAAGGGGAACGTGTCAAAATATCGGACCTCTCCCACTTGGTGGTCTTCCTTTCGGCTCCCCTTGAAAGCCACCAAATAGACGCATCTGCGCTTGAGTCGCTGCAGAGCCAATTACGAAATTTTGGTCTATCTGGCACCCAGAAAAGACCACCCGCACTGGTCACTCCCCGGAAGCCAGACCGGATCAAGGATCCTAAGTGTCGTTTTCCCCTTAGAGTCCTTAGAGTAACAAATATGGGAACCGCTGAGAGACCAAGCAAAGCCAGAAGCCAGGCCAAGGAGAGTCGGAGAGTACCAAAGCGATGAAAACAAGGGGCGTGAGAAGCCCAATGTGGAGATGTGCAAAATGCTTGAGACTGGACTTCTTCCCATGCGGACTGAGGAAGAAGGGAAAACGACTCCACATGAGTTGCCTACCATTCAGTTGTTGCCCACCTTTTGGTTGTTCGAAGGGCAGCTGGAAGCAACCAACCATTTGAAGCCCAAGTTTTGAGAGTCAACCACATCACACGGCTGCTGTAGGGTTGCTCCCAGTCAACCTGTTCGTCTCTCTGGAAAAAGGAAAATCAGGAGCCCATTTTGCAAACTTTTCTACCTCAAGGTGCTTTTGTCATTGTAAGGCTGCAAGTACATGACGTTGAACCCTAAACCTAGGAGTCAAATATTCTATTCGCGTATCATTTTAGTCAAAGGCAAAAATCAGAAAAGTGACCTATCTTTTGATCCAGAGTAGGCCAACGAGTGTTTCCAGATGTGGAACCTCATCGAAACCAAGAAAGCAACTTGCCCAATAGAACAACAAAGAAAGAAAAGGCACAACCTGGAGGTGTGGAGGTCTGAGCCTCGCTTTTTTCGCCAAGGCACGTGGCTCTGTAGTGTCAAAGGTTTGCCCTGCCAGTCGGTCACGCACCCGCCGGCACAGGTCACCATGGGCACTAGGGCGCAGTAGTCGTAGATGCCTCAAATGTGGACACCCCCTCAATATCTTTGCTGGCCTTGTTTTGCTTGAACAACTCCTGGTTCGATAGGCAGGGAATGAGAAATGGAATGCCCCTGTAAACCATCCCCTATGGAACCCTTTCAGGGAATCCCTAGGCTCGTTTCATTTTTTACTGAGCACCAACAAGAAAAACTGTCCAACAAAAATGAAGGTCACGTCTTCGCACGCTCTTGTCGGTTCATGCGGGTCTCCTTAAAAAACGGGCCGAACGTTTTGGGAAAGCCGGCTGCGTGCCGAACGAAACCTGACAGACTTTCTCAAAAGCTCGCATCCAAGCACTAAAACCCACTCACCCTGGCATGGCCTTAAGAACCCTCCCACAGCGTGCTTCTGCCCTGCTTTCTTGACAACTCGTTGAATGACATATGATGCCCCAGAATAGCCCCATCTCTGGAAGATTTGAGGCATCAGCTCAAAAGTTTGTAGGTTCAGCGACGGCCTCTTTTGTTCCCGGCCCGCGCTTGTTGCAGCAAGCATATCTTGCCAAGCCTCCCCGCAGTCAAAGGAGTATGCCTGGTTGCTTTCTGCCCCCGGCGCAGGTCAAGGAATAATCCACTTGCCACAGCGGCTCCACGGCCCTCAAAATATCCGCACTTGTTGGGGACAAACAATCCTCAGACATAAGCGTGCTTGGCATACAGCACCTGCCTTTTGTAGCTCGTAACGCCCAGAGCCAAGCGAACCACTCCTCTCAGTGGATCTCCTTGTGCGGCAAGGCGCGAGAAGAATCTTGGCCCCTTGTGCTCGGTAAGCGAGGCTCCAAGCAGCGCTGCAAAAGAATCCTCCATGTTTCCGGCAAGCGCCAAAACGGAGGCTTCCACTGACAAATCTCGCCAGCCTCCGGCACAATGCGGTGGCGGTGTCGTCTGCATCAGGGGTCCATGTGGCGGGCCGCGGGAACCCACGCTGTGTCATGCAAGTGGAGTTCAGCGGCTGGCCATTCAAGAAGGTCTGTACCTCTTGGAGTCAAAACTAAAAACTGGTATTCGAGTGGTCTGGAGCTCATGGTGGGTTTGTGTCACAATATGTCACAATAGGCGAACCCCCAACATGGTTGGTGTCCTTTGAGTTCCCCCCTTCAAAACGTAAAACAACCAAACAAATACCTTCCACAGCGCGCACACACATACACAGAAATGGGATCAGACTTCAACCTGGAACTAAACCTGTCACGTTGCATCCAGCCCGAAGGACCTGTGCACCCAGGTTTCGTCCCCGTATCTGCCACAGGTCCGGAGGTAGGTGTGCCCTTCCTGCAAGGGTTGCTCCAAAATCCCTGACACAAGAAGGTTTGGGAATGAACTGTTTGGGATCAACCTAAAGGAATGGTTTAGAGGGGTCGTTCCCAAATTCCTGGCTGAGAGCAAGCCTGTCCTGGACAAGTAATTAGAAGCAAAAACCTGCCCTTCCAAGCGTGAAACTATTGTCAAACACAGGAAATCAAACTCACAGAGCTTTCAATCACAAATTCTCAATCAACAAATGGCCTGCTTTGCCCCACTCTCCCATTCCATGCCTTGCCAAGCCATTGGCTCTGGCACTCCTTTGCACGCTACATTTGTCGAGTTTCCACGGGAAGCTCTTTGGCTCGCGTGGAACGTGGAGATTTCTGTTGTGGGCACCCCCCCAACGAGCGAGGACTCCAAGGTTGATGACAGGTTTTGGAAAGGAAAACCTGACACCACGCCTTCTGCGCACTTCGGTGCCACCCCGTGCCGACCCTGCGATGACGGGGACGCGGCTGTAGAATGTAGCGCGCAGCGCTGGTTCTGGCGGTATGTTTTTGGGCCTGTTTTGGGTCGGTGTTGGGGCCACTTTTGGGCTGGGTTTTAAGTCAGGCAGCGCGAACAAGTTGACATCAGGAGCTTCGCGACGTACGGTTCTGTTTGCAGTTTGGGGACTTTGCAGCGCAAAGTTTGGCAACGGATGCTGCGTATAGCCAAGGCCGCAGCGATAAGGACTTGACTCGAGGGCTCCCACCATCGTCTAGCCTAAGATAGCAAGGTGCGGTCTCTGTGTAGAAGCCACGCATCTCTACTAGCCGCTGATGTACCGCAAGGGACAAGTCTCTGCTACAGGCTGCAAGGTGCCCGAGCCAACCAAGGCAAGGGAAACGCGCAAGTCTGCAAAGGGTTTGCCACAGCCTCCGCAAACGTTCCAAGTTCAAGACATGCGCTTTTGGCTTAGCCCTGCAGTTGGTGTGCTGTGTCACTGCACAGTTGCCCAGTTGGAGACGGACAAGTAGCTGCAACTTCCGGCATCACCAGGGCATCTTGATTTGGTGTGACCTGCGGCAGCCTTGTGCCATGGATCCCAATCGAAGATGCACGGGCGGGCCCGTTGAGACCCCGGTGCGCGCAGGCCCGTGCGCGCACTCAGTCGTGAGAGTCGTGAGGCTCAGCCAATTCTCGCTTCGCGCGTTGCTTTGCAAAGGTCAGGCGGGCAGCTGTCGACAAGAAGGCAGCAGCGTTCTTCCGGGGACCCATTGCATTGGGCCACGCGTGTAAGCATAGCCCATGGCCACGGCTACCGTTGCTTGACCAACTGCTACTTCGCGGGAGCCAAGGTTCAGTGTGCGCGTTGGCGGCTTTGGACTTTGCGGACCTTTGCTTGGGGTACAGGGCCCGGTCTTGAAGGGGGTAGCATGCTTGGGCATTTTGTGTTTTTGCTGCTTCAGCAGGTGTTGCGCGTTCAGGGATTTGGCTTCGAGACTTTGCAGTCTTCTGTTTTCCGGTGTCAAGTCCGCCTCCTGACGCTTGTCGCAAGCTGCAGGTTGCAACGGCGATTGTCCGAGGCGAAACGTGCTAAAAATCGTACAAGCAGTGAGTGGCCAAACATGCCTTCTGCCGAAAATCGACCAACTTCGACCAATTACCGCATGTGTTCACTTAAGTCAATTTACAACTGTTGTTTTCAAGATCGGACGTCGCTCGGGCTGGGCAATGCACATTTCGAGTTGCTGTCCCTGCAACTCTTCGGGCGCAAAATAGAGGCAAGTTTCCTGAATATATCAGTTGCCCAGCGACAAGTTCAAGGCGATGGCAATGACATCCTTGGCGCCCTCTAACTATGAACCCCCTCGGCGACCACGCTCAGTCAAATGGCTTCAGCACACGAGAAGGGGGAAAAAGATACAAACACGTTACTACAATAGTTGCTCTCGCAGCCGAACAAGCTGAGAGGAGCTGAACATGTTTTGCCACTGCTGCTGACGGAAATGTGTCAGGTTCAATCCAGCGCAAAGTTGGCTGCGCGAGCGGGAACTGCCTATTCTGGCTGCCGCTCATGAGCATCGCCGTATGGGCAGGCGCTGTTTGGGTAAGCGATTTGCGCATATATGTTCACACCATCCGCGAATTCGGGCGCGATGGAAAACTGAACCTGCCTTGAGTGCTCCACCAAAAGCGGTCACTCCAGTTCTCACACGCGCAGCCTTGCTCGCTTACGATGCCCCAGGCTCAAGCCTTGTGCCCGAGCATGGCTGCAGCTGTTCGGCCCTTGCTGCTCAAGCACAGGCAGTCTCCACAAAATAGTCGGCCAAGAATGGCTGGATGTCCCACCAGCCAAGACGTGGGGTGACGTAAAAAAAGAGGCTATCAAGTTGCGCCTGACCTGCTGTGTGTGTTTACCCCGTCAAGCTCCCCTGGCTTCTCGCGCTGCCGGCTAACATGCCTTGCAGGGATGCGTTTGGCCTGTGAATTCCTCTGCTTCGTTCGGGCACAGCCAGTGGCAGGCCACGCGCAACACAACGGGGCATCACCCGCTGCCGTCCTGGTGCACTTATGCGCGTGCGACACTTTGCACTTGGCAACCTTTGAAACTCCTCGAGCAGCAATCGGGCCAACGCCCACCCCGAATAAGCGGGGCCCAAACAGTTCATGACAGGTTTTGGAAAAACTGACACCACGCCTTCTGCACACTCCGTCGCGCACTGGGCCCGAATCTGGTCGCTGCGCGGGTCATGTGGCACGACCACATGGGCGAGCTTCGTGTTGATGACGGCTAAAACTTTAAGTTCCCTTGCAAGTCGGAGTTGCGCGAACATGATAACAGCCTCTCTGAGAGGCGGCAGGCCTTACAGAGCGTGTCCGCGACGCACACAAGTCAGCCATGTCCAAATGAGTTATTATTATGGCTTGCTATGCCGTATCATTTAGTCTACACCACCAAAGTATCGCCACCTTACACGGGTGGAGTTTTTGCAAACGCGCCACATGTGACAGGTGTTCCTTGGCCATCAGCTTATGCCGCCTTACGCTCGTGCACTTCTTCTTGCTTACGCAAAGTAACATGCAGGTTTTGGACGCTGCCCAAGTACGTTTCCATCCCGTGTATGCCATCACTTCGTTGCCCAGTGCTTTAAATGCCAGAGCAACAGCCACACTGTGAGAGCCCGTAAACAGAGACGTCTCCACCATACTCTAGAACGACCAGCGAGGACAGCGCGAAGATAGCAAAGCGCGGTCTGTAGACCTCCCAACCGCAAGACGGGCACTTCCCAAATCTGGCCGCTGCGCGAGTCATGTTGCAGGACCGCATGGGCCTCGTGTTGATTGCGGCTAAAACTTCAAGGCCCCTGGCAAGTCGGGGTTGCGCGAACATTCCGCGACCACGCTCAGTCAGATGGATTCAGCACACGGGAAAAAGGAAAAGAAACAAAACGCTACTACAATAGTTGCTCTCGAAGCCGCGAATTCGGGCGCGATTGAAAGCTGGGTCTGGGCCCTGCAGCAAAAATGCAAGAACCTGAACCTGCCTAGAGTGCGCGGCCAACAGCGGGCACTCCAGTTCTCACACGCGCAGCCTTACTCGCTGTCAAGCCTTGTGCCCGAGCATGGATGCAGCTGTTCGGCTCTTGCTGTTCAAGCACAACATAGTGGGCCAAGAATGGTTGGATGTCGCACCAGCCAAGACGCTGGGTCATGTGTAGACAGAGGCTATGAAGTTGTGCTAGAGCTGCTGTGTATGTTTACCCCGTCAAGCTTCCCTGGCTTCTCGCGTTGCTGGCTAAAATGCCTTGCAGGGATCCTCTGCTTTGTTCGGGCACAGCCAGTGGCAGGCCACGCGCGACACAACGGGGCATCACCCGCTGCCGTCCTTGTGCACTTATGTGCGTGCGACACTTGGCAAACTTTGGAACACCTCGAGCAGTAATCGGGCCAACGCCCACCCCGAATAAGCGAGCCCAAACAGTTCATGACAGGTTTTGGAAAGCCTGACACCACGCCTTCTGCGCACTTCCGTCGCGCACTGGGCCCGAATCTGGTCGCTGCGCGGATCATGTGGCACGACCACACGGGCGAGCTTCGTGTTGATGACGGCAAAAACTTTAAGGCCCCTTGCAAGTCGGGGCTGCGCGAACATGAAAACAGCCTGTCTGAGAGGCGGCAGGAGAGGCGGCAGGCCTCACAGCGCCTGTCCGCGACTCAGACAAGTCAGCAACTTGCTACGCCGTATCATTTAGTCTACACCACCAGGTTATCGCAACCTTACACGCGTGGAGATTTTCCAAACGCGCCACATGTGACAGGTTTTCCTTGGCCATCAGCTTACGCCGCCTTACGCTCGTGCACTTCTTCTTGCTTACGCAAAGTAACATGCAGGTTTTGGACGCTGCCCAAGTACGTTTCCATCCCGTGTATGCCATCACCCCGTTGCCCAGTGCTTTGAATGCCCCAGCAACAGCCACAGCGTGGGAGCCCGTAAACAGAAACGTCCCCGCCATACTCTAGAATGACAAGGGAGGACAGCTCGAAGATAGCAAAGCGCGGTCTCTGTGTAGACCTCCCAACCGCAAGACGGTGTGGCACGACCACATGGGCCTCGTGTTGCTTGCGGATAAAACTTCAAGGCCCCTTGCAAGGCAGGGTTGCGCGAACATGAAAACAGCCTCTCCGAGAGGCGGCAGGCCTCACAGCGCCTGTCCGCGACTCAGACAAGTGAGCCATGTCCAAACGAGTCATGGCTTGCTACGCCGTATCATTTAGTCTACACCACCAGGATATCGCCACCTTACACGCGTGGAGTTTTTGCTTACGCGCCACATGTGACAGGGTTTCCTTGGCCATCAGCTTATGCCGCCTTACGCTCGTGCACTTCTTCTTGCTTACATTTTCCTTGCCCAGTGCTTTAAATGCCGGAGCAACAGCCACACTGTGGGAGCCCGTAAACAGAGACGTCTCCACCATACTCTAGAATCAGCTCTAGGACAGCTTGAAGATAGCAAAGCGCGGTCTCTGTGTAGACCTCCCAACCGCAAGGCGAGCGCTTCCCAAGTCTGGCCGCTGCGCGAGCCATGTGGCACGACCACATGGGCCTCGTGTTGACTGCGGCTAAAACTTCAAGGCCCCTTGCAAGTCGGGGTTGTGCAAACATTTCGCGAGCATGCTCAGTCAGATGGCTTCAGCACACGGGAAGGGGGAAGAAGAAACAAAACGCTACTACAATAGTTGCTCTCGAAGCCGAACAAGCTGAGGAGCTGAACATGTTGTGCCACTGCTGCTGACGGAAATGTGTCAGGTTCAATCCAGCGCAAAGTTGGCTGCGCGAGCGGGAACTGCCTGTTCTGGCTGCCGCGCATGAGCATCGCCGTACGGGCAGGCGCTGTTCGGGTAAGCGATTTGCGCATATATGCGTTCACACCATCCGCGAATTCGGGCGCGTTTGAAAACTGGTTCTGGGCCCTGCAGCAAAAACTGCAAGAACCTGAACCTGCCTTGGGTGCGCCGCCAAAAGCGGGCACTCCAGTTCTCACACGCGCTGCCTTACTCGCTTTCGATGCCCGAGGCTCAAGCCTTGTGCCCGAGCATGGCTGCAGGTATTCGGCTCTTGCTGCTCAAGCACGCACAGTCTCCACAAAATAGTGGGCCAACAATGGCTGGATGTCCCACCAGCCAAGACGTGGGGTCACGTGTAGACAGAGGCTATCAAGTTGCGCCTGGTATGTTTACACCGTAAAGAACCGATGGCTTCTCGCGTTGCCGGCTAACATGCCTTGCAGGGATGCGTTTGGCCTGTGAATTCCTCTGCTTCGTTCGGGCACAGCCAGTGGCAGGCCACGCGCAACACAACGGGGCATCACCCGCCGCCGTCCTTGTGCACTTATGCGCGTGCGACACTTTGCACTTGGCTACCTTTGGAACACCTCGAGCAACAATCGGGCCAACGCCTATCCCGAAAAAGCGGGGCCCAAAAAGTTCGTGACAGCTGTTGCTGCGGAAGCAGGCAAAGCTTCCGTCGCGCACTGGGCCCGAATCTGGTCGCCTATGCCGCCTTACGCTCGTGCACTTGTTCTTGCTTACGCAGTGTAACATGCAGGTTTTGGATGCTGCCCAAGTACATTTCCATCTCGTGTCTGCCATCACCCCGTTGCCCAGCCGGAGTACAGCCACAAGACGGGCGCTTCCCAAATCTGGCGGAGTTTTTGCAAACGCGCCACATGTGACAGGTTTTCCTTGGCCATCAGCTTCTGCCGCCTTACGCTCGTGCGCTTCTTCTTGCTTACGCAAAGTAACATGCAGCTTTTGCACGCTGCCCAAGTACGTTTGCATTTGTGTATGCCATCACCCCGTTGCCAAGTGCTTTCAAGGCCGGAGCAGCAGCCACACTGTGGGAGCCCGAAAACAGAGCGAGGACTTCAAGGCGGCAGGCCTCACAGCGACTCAGACAAGTGAGCCATGTCCAGAGTCATGGCTTGCTATGCCATATCATTTAGTCTACACCACCAGGTTATCACCACCTTTCACGCGTGGAGTTTTTGCTTACGCGCCACATGTGACAGGTTTCCCTTGGCCATCAGCTTCTGCCGCCTTACGCTCGCGCACTGCTTCTTGCTTACGCAAAGTAAACATGAGCACGAAGGTATTGGACGCTGCGCAAGTACGTTTGTATCCCGCGCCTTGCGCAAACCGGGGTCCGCAAGCAAATAGCACACCATGTCCACAAACAAAACCTGAGCCGAAATGCCATCACCCCGTTGCCCAGTGCTTTTGCACGCGACACATGGGTCGCCGTCGCACAACGCCCACTCAGTCGCAAGGCCCAGCAAATTCTCGCCTCCCGCATTGCTGTGCAAGCGTCCGGCCAGCAGCTGTCGGCAAAAGGAAAAAGGAAGCTGCACACCTTCATGTGCTTTCGGGGGCCCATCGCGTCGTTTGTATAGACATAGCCCGTGTCTACGGCTACGGTTGCTTGACCAACTGCCACTTCGTAGGAGCCAAGTTTCGGTGTGCCCGTTGGTGGCTTTGCTTGAGGCACAAGGTCCGGTCCTGGATTAGCGTGGTTGCTACAGGCTGCAAGGTCGAGGCAGGGACACGCGCAAGTCTGCAAGTCTGCAAGGGGCCTACTGAGACAGAAATGGGAGGGGTGGGCTGCCTGGACAGCTATACCGCGGACCTTGGGTTCTTGGGAGGGTTCCGCAAAAGTGATCTTCGAAGGGTTCCTCGAAGCTGTGGCGCAAACTCATCAAGTATCAAAGCTTCCGCAGAACCCTTAGTCAAAGTTCCGAATCAACTCCTAAAAACTTTGTCGGAGTTCCGCAGTGCCGGAAATCCAGACTCGCGCCCCTTCCCAACCCCTTCTACGACAGCCTCCGCAAACGTTCCAAGTTCAAGACATGGGCTTTTGGCTTGGCCCTGCAGCTGGTGTGCTGCGTCACTGCACAGTTGCCCACTTGGAGACGGTCAAGTCGCTGCAGCTTCTTGAATCGCCTGGTGTCTTCTTGATTCCTGGGCCCTTCGGGTGTGCAAAATTTTCGCCGTTTTGCGAACAAACAATAATTTAGCTGTGTTGAGCACAAGCCCAATCAAAAAACACATGCATCACTGGTAAACAGGGCCGTTTCAACAATACAAATACAACATACCGAATCGTATCGTTGCGTATTGCGAGCTACTGGTATCGAAATCCAAGTATCGCGACCTCAAATCGTATCGAAGACTATCCCTGGAAATCGTATTGAATCATACCGATTTGTATTGGTATCTGTTGGGGTTTGCTTTGAGGGGCCCTTTGGGGCCAGAAGGGCGGCAGCCAGCTGCTGCAAATAATTGCGGCTGCCTGGCACGGGGAGGAGCACGGACTGAGTTTGCTTCAAGCCGGTTCCATATTGCACATTTACGGCTGCGACCATCCGAGGCCAGAAATCAAACTAACTCGACGAGTTAGATCGTTTTTGAGGGTTCCCACTTCCCAAGGCTCATCCAGAACAGCTGCAACCAACCGAGGGCAGAAATCAACCTAACCCGGCGAGTTAGATCGTTTTTGAGGGTCCCACATGTTCCTACTTCCCAAGGCTCATCCGGAACAGCTGCAACCATCCGAGGCCAGAAATCAACCTGACTCGACGAGTTAGATCGTTTTTGAGGGTTCCCACTTCCCAAGGCTCATCCGGAACAGCTGCAACAAACCGAGGCCAGAAATCAACCTAACTCGACAAGTTAGATCGTTTTTGAGGGTTCCCACTTCCCACGGCTCATCCGGAACAGCTGCAACCAACCGAGGCCAGAAATCAACCTAACTCGGCGAGTTAGATCGTTTTTGAGGGTTCCCACTTCCCAAGGCTCATCCGGAACAGCTGCAACCATCCGAGGCCAGAAAATCAACCTTACTCGACGAGTTAGATCGTTTTGAGGGTTCCCACTTCCCAAGGCTCATCCGGAACATGCAACCATCCGAGGCCAGAAATCAACCTGACTCGACGAGTTAGATCGTTTTTGAGGGTTCCCACTTCCCAAGGCTCATCCGGAACAGCTGCAACCATCCGAGGCCAGAAATCAACCTGACTCGACGAGTTAGATCGTTTTTGAGGGTTCCCACTTCTCAAGGCTCATCCGGAACAGCTGCAACAAACCGAGGCCAGAAATCAACCTAACTCGGCGGGTTAGATCGTTTTTGAGGGTCCCACATGTTCCCACTTCCCAAGGCTCATCCGGAACAGCTGCAACCAACCGAGGCCAGAAATCAAACTAACTCGACGAGTTAGATCGTTGTTGAGGGTTCCCACTTCCCAAGGCTCATCCGGAACAGCTGCAACCAACCGAGGCCAGAAATCAACCTAAATCGACGAGTTAGATCGTTTTTGAGGGTTCCCACTTCCCAAGACTCATCCGGAACAGCTGCAACCAACCGAGGCCAGGAACCAACCTAACTCGGCGTTTGAGGGTTCCTACTTCCCAAGGCTCATCCGGAACAGCTGCAACCAGCCGAGGCCAGAAATCAACCAACTCGGCGAGTTAGATCGTTTTTGAAGGTTCCCACTTCCCAAGGCTCATCCGGAACAGCTGCAACCAACCGAGGCCAGGAACCAACCTACTAACTCGGCGAGTTGGATCGTTTTTGAGGGTTCCCACTTCCCAAGGCTCATCCGAACAGAAATCACCCTAGGCGACTTTGTTTCGGAGGGTCCCGCGCGGCAAACTTTGTTGGTGTAGACTCTTCAACACGCCTGCCCCCACATGCGCGTGATCGATTCTTGCCTTCGGGCTTTCAGAGCTCATTCAAAACAGAAATGAGAATCAACTTACCCGACCGAAATCGGCTTCCCTGGAAACCGCCGGCCTCTTGTGGCAATGCCGCGCAGCAGCCCGCGCACCAGCGGTTGACCGTACTTCCTTTATCGAGATATTGTTCAATACTAAGTTGCTGTATCGCAAGCATATCGGACCGCAAAGCGTACAGTACCGAACCGTATCGTCGTCGAAACAGCCCTGGGTAAAGGCCCCATCAAGCAAAATCGCTTTCTCAGCCAAAAAACACTTTTTCTTGAAAGAGCACAACAGAAGCAGACCTCGGAGGATCCAGGTTTGGTGTAACCTGCGTCAGCCTTGCGCCATGGATCCCAATCAAAGATGCACGGGCGGGCCCATGACACCCAGGTGTGCAGGCCCGTGCGCACTCAGTTGCAAGGCTCAGCCAATTCTCGCTTCGCGCATTGCTTTGCAAAGGTCAGGCACATGGCCTGGTCCTGGATTAGTTTGGTTTACTTGGCGGGGTTGATGCTGTGGTCAAACGAGACTCAAAATTTTGGCTCGGGCCAGCACTCCCATGTTCAGCATCACCCCTGGAGTAGTACAGCTGGCTCAGAAGGCATGGGAGCTGCACACGTGCAAACAACAAGTGGCGCTAGTGTGGCCATGCGCCTCCACACCACACGTCCCCTCTTGGGCTTGTGAGCGCTGAGGAAACGCATGGTGAAGCCGGCTGCCTGGACTCCAGGCGGAGCGTGCTTCCGGCGCCTTGGTGCTTCCAACGAGCAGGTTGTGTGAAATGCATCGTCGCACATCGAAGTTTCTTTGGTGTGGCCCCTACGCGCATAAAGCAGCCGAATCAGAGAAGATGGTTTTGCAAAATCGGGTAATCGCACGACAGCCGGCATGAGGCCAGCCCCTAGCCCAGCAAACCTGCCATCAGCAAGAACTGCAAGTCAGCTGTTTGGCCTGGGTGCTAAATCACACCATCTGCAAACTTGGGCTCTCTTGGAAGCGAAAACATGTTCTCGGGGGGCTTGGCACCACTACGGGGAATCCGCGGAGTCACGGAGACAGGCACTTCTGCAGGGTTCTGCCTCGCTAGTTTCGTCCTTGCACGTCCACGCGCTGTGAAACAGCTGACATGATTCTGCACTCATTGTCCGGTCAGTCTTCTTGGCACTTCACGTCGACCGCACCGCAGTCATTTACACTCGACATGTGGGAAGTCTGTGCAGCGATATGAGGTCAGAACCATCAGTCCTTGCGTGGTAAAAATGCAATGCGACAAGGCCTGCTCGAATTCCGGCTCTTTTTCGCCGCAAGCATGTCCAGTGTGGACGGTCGGAAGAATTAGTGCTTGGGTAAGAATTTCACCCACCAGGATCAACTCAAATACCGCATCTCATGTAAACCCGTTTTCCGATCACACACGGGCATACGTTGCACCATCTGAGCACGCGAGCTTAGCACGCAGGTGTCTCCTCTAGTTTTGACTGGGCAAAAGGCCGCGAACATAAACACTCAAACAAGCAGTTGCACGTACAGCGAACATTTGCCAACTGCATGGTTTCCCAATTCTACATATGCAACGCAATTCTACATGCGCACCGCGGCTCTCAGGGACAGATCCTGCCACAATTCCCGCCTGAGACCAATCATCGCCTTGAGCTCGTCCTTGGGGCGCTCCACGCTCAGCACCCTGATGTGATGAGTTTTCCAGGGGAAGGTCTTCCTCACTTCAAAGGAGGAAAATAAATTCACCTTTCGGGGCCAACTCATATCAGAACAACCAACAAATAGAACTAAACATGCACCAAAACAGGGAAACTACAAGGTGGATTTTGAGCAATGCTTCATCACCGCTGTCTCCGCACCCTCCACGTCCAAGGACATGTAGTCAATGACTCTCGGCACCTTCGTCTCCTGAGTGGCAAGTGGTTGCGAACAGGGGCTACCAAGCGACCAACGGGGCAATGCCTGATACTGGACGACTAGGGAGGCGTTCAGCCACAGTGGCCAACTGCCAGTACTTCTGGCAAAAAGGACAGCTCAAGACATTAAACTGTAAATGGTTGTCTTGGTTTTGTCAAAGGCCATGGTTGCATATGTCGCACGTTGCATAGAGCTGGGTTACCGGGTGGCCCTGGTAAAAACAAACAACTACTAATAGGAAAAATGGACCGTGCTTGTTGGGGTTGATCATCTGTTTAGCAGAGAACCCACCCAAAAGGAAAAAGGGTTGCCGCTGAATAATTGGCTAGACTGCCTTTTCGCGGGCAGCGTCAGCCTGTCCTGTTCGCCCAAACTGTCACAATGCCCGCCGTCCAACTTCGAAGGTTCCAAAAATCGGGACACGGGGCGTGAACCGCATCAATTGCTGAAAGCTTGGGATGGCAAAACAAGGCAAAACTGATTGATAGCCTCACGAACAGCACACATCCAACAAGCACGAAGTAAGTAAACAAAAATGCCGAACAAAAAAATAAAGGGCCATGGTAAACCTGCTACACTCCTGTGCCCCCACTCGCAACATGCAAACACCTACTAACACCTGCATCCTGGATCTTTCACCTTCAGCTCTTTGAGATGTGATCTAATCCTTGTTTTCCCACCAGCAAAACCACGTGGCTTGTTTCACCAAACACCAGCGCGCCACCAACGCCAGCGCCTCTCGTGGGTCACGAGGTCGAAGGGCGCCTCCCGTCGCAGCTGCACGTCCCGCGCCAGGTTCAGGAAGCCCCGCTTGGTCTGGGCGCAGCGGAGTGTCGAGGACTCGAGCTTTTTGGCCAGGAGGGGTACTGGTCGTTCAGACAGCTTTGGATTTTGGAACGAGGGGGGACAAGTTTTAAGAATGAGGGGGGGTAGGGCGGGGTGGGGGGAAATTCAGGGGCAAACTTTGGGTCTCCACTTAAACTCATTTCCTGAATTGTTACTGGCCACCAAAATCGTCTTCCCAAAAAGTTACGTCCAGAAACTCAGGAAGTGAGTGAAAGGGCAACACAAGCAACAGGTCCAAAAAGGGGCCATAGGTTTTGACAACCCTCAAGTAAGCCCAAGCGATTAAGAAGGCAATCAGATCTAATTTGTCCTTCTTCCGCTCGGCTGATGGAGTGAGGAGCAATTGGATCCAATCTATCAAGGGAAGGGTCCAGAATTCTGAAAAAGCGGTGAAGCACAAAGGGCAAGGGGGGTCAAAGGCTCACCCAAGAGCACAGAAACACAGAGCCAAAGGTCACGTACCTCGGGAGAGGAGCAAGGCCGAAAAGCAAATGCCCAGTCGATCCATCGACTGGTAGTCATGGAAAGCAGGCTTTAACCAACTCAAAAGTCATTCCGTCTAGACTAGTAGAGGGATCTCCCTCGAGAGGGCCCCCTTTTTGGGGTTCCATGTTAGTATGCTGGAATTAGCAGATTGCAATAAGACCGCTGCATGATCCAACCAAGTCAACTAAAACAGCCTCAGGCGAAGTCCGAACATAACTCCAATGGCATCTACATTCGCACACTATTATAAACACTTACAGACGCACGTCTCTGAGGCATGCAATGTTTACCGTCATGATGGCACCAATTGATATGTTGAATTGTGCATCGATGCTGAGCCGAGCCTACATGATTATATGACTGCATGTCAATCTAAGAACGCATTCAGTATGTTAAAGTGCGCATGGGCATCTTTGCAGCGGTCCGTGTTCTTCATGCAGACCCCCACTTAGCGAGCCAGTGGGTGGGGGCACCCTGGCCCTTGCTTCATCCCCCTTGCAAGGAGGCCTGAACATAGGTGAGCAGTGTGGCCCCCTGACTTCGCCAAGACTGGGAAACAACCAACAATTCAATTAGCAGAAGTGTGATTCGTAAGCACCATGAGTGAGTGAATTTGCTGTGGTAGTCCAAGCCTGGTCAAAGAATAACAATGACACATATTGTTGCACGCTGCATGTTAGCATGGATCGATAGGGATGAATTGCGGAGAGGAAGCCAGCTCAGCATGAAATAGGGACCACCAAAATGGGTTGGGTTGCCGCTGAACTCCCTTTACTCGGTTGCTTTCTGCCCCCTGCTTTAAAAAAGCACGTTTAGTGGTTTAATGGAAAACTCATTAGTTGGCAAAAAGTTAAAGTCCTGAAATCCAAGCAAAACCCCCCAAAGATTACCGTGCCCAAAAGGGGGTCAAACCCAAAAGGCACTGCCCAAAATATTGGCCCACCTCGTCCTCGAAGCTCTGCTGCTCCTGCTCCCGTTGAGGGTCCAGGAATCGTCCCAGCAGTGGGTTGAAGCTCCGCTCGCGCTTGCTGGTCTCCCCCCGCACATAGCCTCAGTGGCAACAAGGCAGCTGCACACCGCAGCTTGGGCAATGAGGTTGTTTGAGGGTCCCCGAGTATCTGCACTGTTGTCTCAGGGCATCTTGAAACCCGGTCGGTTCGCGGCTGGCGGCCCAGTCTTCATAGTACACCCTCAACAGAGTGATGTACATCTGAAACCGGTTGCTCCTCAACCCTCCGAGGTGATGAATGCTAGCTTCGTATTATACTCCCCCAGAAACGCAGCTGAGTAATTCATTGATCTAACCATATCGCCGAGTCCACATGCAAGGAATCCCTTCACGGGCTCTGGTTTCAACAATCCGTTTTTGGGGCCAAATTGATGGTCTTACCGAACCATCGAGAAGCGAAACACTTGACAAAGAGCGTTTGTTGATTGCGGCGCGCATTGAATGAGTCCTGGAGTTCTGGGCCCGTGGAATTTGTGGATGGCTTGTTCCACGCTGCCCGGAGCCCCGAACAGAACTGGGCATGGGGGAGACCTTCTGAACATACAGCACTTAGGACGTCCTTGCAGGGGGGAGGCTTTGCAAACTTCAGTGGGGGCCACCAGGGACAAAACAGTGGCCTAACAACATCCTCGGATTGATATGCGGAGACAATGATTAACCTGGCATGGAGGTATAGCGGCTTTGTCTAACCTCTAAATCTATCCAACTCCAACCTCCAACTTGTCGAACCTCCAACCCTAACCTCTACCTCTAACTCGAACTACCTCTAACTCAGACTCCTAACGTCTAACTCTACTAAACTCTTCCCTATCTGTCCTCCTACTCTGATATCTAACTTCATGCTGCAACTTCTCTAACCTCTAAGCTCGCAGACTCCCAAGCATCACTAGCATCTTAGTCTAGCAGAATGTGCTCCTTTGACTAAGCAAAGCTATCTGACACGTGTCTAGACTAGTTAAATCGGTCGACACCCCCGCCAACACCAGCGGCTTTGTCTAGAAATGTGTCTTCCTTCGAACAAAAAAAGTAGATGCCAAACACGTTTCGATAATCATTCTAGACTCATTGTGGACGCCCTCAGCATCACCGAGGTCCCGGGTTCCCATTCCACTGACCCGCCGGAGAGCCGACAGTGGGGCCTTTGAACAGGTCCGGGTGCAGTTTCACCCGTCTCTCATGCCTGGGCCGAGGATCAAACCCCAGGCGGCCCCACAAAAACCCAACACCCAGGTCCATAGGGAAGTCTCAACCAAAGGTTGAAGCCATGACCAAAGCCAACTTTCGATGCTAGGTAACCTTTTGTGACTCCAATTTTCGTGGTTTCGGATTTTCGAAAACAAGCCTCCCCGTTCAAAAGCCCGGTGAGATCCCTAAGCCAATCCAGACTTGTGTTTGTGTACTGCCCGCTTAGCGCTTGTCTGCAACAAAAACGTCAGAACGTCAGAAGCTTGCGTGGAAAACATGCTCTCCGCCATTTGCTTTGGAATGAAAACACGCGTGAACCCGCATTCAACGAGCGGATGCCATCCCAAAGTAAAAACACACGCGAAGCCGAAAGAGGAAATAACACGAACAAATAGCATTGTCTCTGAAGGGTCGGCATTCGCCTTCCGTGTACTTTGGGGTGCTGGCGCCATGTTGGTGCAAATAAACATGTTTAAAACATCTTTCCTTGTGCAAGCCATGCTTGGCAGAATCCATCCACGAAATCATGGTAGCGCGCTGGCCCCCATTGGTAGGGTATTTGTGTGGAAGGGCAGACTGTGCACTTGCATGTTTGCTGGGACAGTTTAGCAGTGATATTCGGCTTGGGTTACCGCAAGCAAAGCCAAGCAGCCTCCAGTTGATCCCTGGGACCGCCGGAGCCACAACCCAGACCAACCGTGCCCACAATGTTGGCCATTTTAAGGATGGGCCCAAAGTTGGCGTCCATCTCAACGCATCTCTTGCAGCAGGTGACGTGGAGAAGAAATCCAAAGGCCCAAGCCACAGGGATCGTGACTGCTGAAATGACCACGAATCTACAACCTTTCATCTTTGCTTGGAGGTCACTGGTTCATGAGTAACCATAGTAACATGCACTTAAACAAGAAGAACAACGCCTAAAACTACAAGGCTTTTTGTTCTCAGCCAATTTCCTCCAAAGGGGACAATATACAGGGGTTTGTGTCCAAATAGGGGCCCCTAATGGTGGTGTTCTTTTTGGCTTCCCTTCAAACCAGCCTGAAAAGCATGCCCGCAATTCAATACACCCTCACCAGGACACCCTGACCACTCCTTCACTCCTGGGGTTGCCAGTTTCCAGCCAAACTGCAACGCCTCAAGTTGTCAAGCCCAGGGCGCTGGTACGTTTGCACCTCCTCTGCCCAGCTGGCCATCGCGTCTTGCCTGAGGCCGGGAAAGCACCGGCTGCAAAGCTGCGGCCAAATGGACGTATAGTACACTAATTGTTTTTCTGGTTGCTAAACAGGAGGGATGGAACAATAAACTGTCTCCATCTGAATAGTCTGGCGTTGGCTTTCAGTTACATATTTGTCAGCCAGCTAGCCGGCCTTCAAAGACCCCATCCATGAATCGCTTGTTCGATGGGTGTAGAAGTAAAAACCTTGACCTCAAGGTGACACAAAGTAGCCTACAAGCATGGAACCTGACATACAGTCAAACGAAACATATGCCTTCGAAGTGCTTCGCGGATTACGGGCGTAACCGAGCAATACCTGCATGTCCCAACAGGTTCCTTTTTGTTGCTGTTTGGAGAAAAACCGTGTTTGTCCTGGACACGGCAATTATTTTTGCAACCAGCGCTTTTACTGTTTTTGTTATTTAGTGGCATGTTGCATCCCTCTTCCGTTCACAGTGCGCCCGTGCGAGCTGTTTGGCTTGCATCGGCCCTCACACTGCGGCAAAGGTCACCAAGTGCGCAGCCACTGCCTTTTTCCCCACATCGCTCGCTCGCCCTTCGTCAGGTACTGATGCGGTGTCTGGTCTGCGTGCGGTTGCGAGCTTGCTGGGGTCGTGTTTCTGCTTTTGGGTTTCGGAGGGCATTCAGTTGCTTTTGCAGGTTGCAAGTTGATGGGATGAAGGGATTGTTGCAGCGGGCATGCTTCAGTTTGCACTGCTGAGCTTGGTGAGTTGAGGGTGACCGACATGTTGCTGTGGCTTCAGGCGTTGACGCTTCATCTGGCTTCCGCTGATGGAGCTGAAGGCCTGGCTCCGTTTCGGGGGGGCGCTGGATTTCGGAAGACTCGCTATGACCTACCAAACCCTCCAGGAGCAAAATAACCCTTTATTCTGAGGAGTTCCCTCTAGCTGCGGGCTCAAGTAGGCACTGCCCAGCAACCTTAGGCCTTAGGCATGGCTAGACTGGCAGACCTTTTTGAGCAGTCAGCCCTTCTCAGAGATCGGGCGAGGACGCAGGGCAAGCTTTGCTCTTGGCCAAGCCCGGCGTTGACAGGGGTGGGTGGGATGTCAACTTTGCTGGCCAACTTGGAGGCCACTGAGATCCTAGCATGTTGGTGGTGCCCTTTGTCAAACAAGGCTGCGCCAGTGTCGATTGACATCCTCAGGCAAAAGGCATGGATGTTGAAAATCGCAAACTTATGGTACTGGATATCTGATGAACCCGCGAATCCTCATTGTGTTTTTGGGATAAATCTAATTTGCGACCTGGCCCAAACGTATGATACTGCATTTCTGATGAGCCCGCAAATCCTCAGTTGTGTTTTGGGGGATAGATCTAATTTGCGACCTGGGCCAAACTTGTGGTACCCGATTTCTGATGAACCCGCAAATCCTCAGCTGTTTCTTTTGGGGATAGATCTAATTTGCAACCTGGCCCAAACTCATGACACTGGATGTCTGATGAACCCGCGTATCCTCAGTTGTTTGTTGTCGGGGATAGATCTAAATTGCGACCTGGTAACAAAGCAAAAAGGTTCCAGGATGGTCAAGCCAACGAGCCCCGCTTTTGCCCAATCAAGAAGGCTAGCTGCTTTTCCACAGTCTAAGGATTTATGGGAGAGAATAAACACTCACCCATGAAGGTGAGGCAGTGGCGAGGGCTCATGGGTCTGGATCCTCGTGATGTCACCCGGGTGAACTTAGACAGCTGGGGGCTTCGCAAGATAATGAGCTATGCTTGCAGAAGGTGGCTCTCAGGCGCCGAAGGCCCACGGGATCCTTGAATCAACTTGAGCAACATCGACTCATCGCCCTTTTTCTTTGTTGGGTTTCCTTTGGCCCATGGACCTTTGTGATTTGTCAAAATTCCCTTCAACTTGTCGACCCTTTGATTGGTGTGAATGCCCATCAGCTCATTGGCCCTTCGACTTGCTGAATTACAGTTTCATGGCCCTGCAAACCTAAGGACCCCTTGCTGAAAGGCCTGTGGGAGACTTTTGACACGTATTGGGATGCCCCACCAGAACCTTCACCAGAAGAACAACTGCCAGAAGTGTTGGCCATTGAGGATGGCGAGCCCGCTGATGAAAAGGAAGAAACTATCTCCATAGACCATTCTGAGGGTGAAGCCATCGTTGATGGCTATGAATCGGTTTCCGAAAGCGAGGCCGACAACAACGGAAACTTTCAGGCGGACCCGCCGATCGCTTTGTGCTCAGCCAGCCCCGGTACCTCGCGCGGCAGCATGTCGATTGCCTCGCAGCCCTCGCGGGAGGAGGTCCTGCAGCGGATGGAGGCGGTGAAGCAGTTGGCAAGCCGGGGTGCGCCGACGGTTGGTGCCAAGGTCTCGGTTGGGAAGCGCAGGGATTTGGGGTCCAAGAAGACGGGTCATGTCCTTGTGTGTTTCCAGCGTAGGGGGTTGCACGAGCATTGGGACCCCATCGAGATCGGCCGGAAAATCCACGTCCAGGAGGGTAAGCCCACCATTGCTTTTCGGGTGAAGATCCCTGAGGAAACTAGAGGAGTGCTTGCCTTGTACACGAGCAAGTGGGTTTTGGTCGATTACTCCGGCAGCCAGAAAGCGGCTGGGGGCGACCGCGTGTTCTCTTTGGAGGACCAGGCGAGTTGGCATCAGGAGCGTGAGAAGGTTGCCGAGGAAATTCGTGCGTCAGCAGGAGTTGGAAACTTCCAGGTCACGGGGTCCCTTCGAGCCTGTTGGCTGGAGGCGCAGGGGAAGGATCAATCCCTTGTTGCCAAGCTCAGGAAACCCCCAGAGCACTTTCGTAGGGCCGAGGATGGCTTGTTGGAGCGTGCTGTGGTTCTGGAAGGGTCCCAGACGGTGTTTGTCCCGGTTGTCCCAAATGGTATAGCGACGGGTTCCGGAGTCAGTTGGCGCAGGGCGTGCTTCTTGCAGCTTCATTGCAGTGTTCTTGGGTGTCACCGGTCAGCAGAGAAGACCTACGCCCTCTTGCGTCGTGTCGCCTGGTGGGAAACCATGAAGGAGGACATTCAATCTTGGGTTGGGAAATGCTTGTCCTGTTTCAAGGGGCGGGCCAGACCATCCAAGGTCGTCACTGGGCTGGAGGTGGAAAGATCCGTCTTGGAGATCCTTCTCGGGTAGAGGGAGGAAAATGAATTCCCAAGGGCACTCGCCTGAAAAATGATCCGCGCCCGGGGAATCGAGCCCGCGGTCTCCAAGCTTCAGAGCTGCAGCGCCTCTTCCGATTGAGGTATGGATCCATGCTAGTCCAGCACAGAGACTCCTGTGCCTGAGAGCGTCACCAGCTGATAGGCAATCAGGTGGATGAACACATCCGTCATCGTGCCGTCGAGCGCCTTGAAAGTGAACGCCAGGTCGCCCGAGCGGGCGCTGACGCCGCTCAGGGGCATCTTGGGCACGTGCTCTGTCGGGAAGCCCGCGATGAAGCTGTGGCGCAGGTAGCCCGCGCGGTCGATGTCGATGTTGCGCACCGTGTCGTCGTAGGTCCCCGCAAGGACCGAGAGGAAGTGGAAGTGCTCCGAGGCTCCCTTCATAGGGTTGTGCGGGTACTGCAGGCTGCCCAGCTGCATCTGCGACTCCAGGAGACTGTCTTCCTGCCTGGCCGCGCCGATGGGCAGATTCGAGGACGCCGAGGGGAAGAAGGACTTGAACGACAGCTTCGTCCGCCTCGTGAAGTGAGAGGATAACGTACAGTTCCCGCCTGCAAAGGCGAAGGGGCATCGCACAGTTTGCCCGATCGAGCACAGAGACGAAAAAACAGCATACCGCAGTTGCATCTCGTCGTCACACTGCCTGATTTTTTCTCGAGTTTTTTTTTCTCTCGGCCTGTATCAGGCCATGCCCGCAGCCCGCCAGGGACCCAGAGACGCCCAGCCAGCCGAGGGCTTGCCTGAGACAATCCTGGGAAAAGGGGGTGAGACACCTGAGACACCTGAGACACCCACTAAACGTCGAACAAAGTGTCTCAGGCGTGTCTCAGACCTGTCTCAGCAATGGCTGTCTCAGGTGTCTCAGGTGTCACCACTGCCACGGCACCGGGCAGTATCTCGGGGCGCTGTGCCACTCCTGCAACATCGCGGCCCAGACGCCCAAGACCATCCCAGTGGTCTTTCACAACGGGGGCGGCTACGACTTCCACTTCCTGCTGCGCTACATCGCCACGATGGGCTCTCCCGTCAGCAGGGCGCCGCGCGAAGAGCTCGGCGAGGACAGCGACAACGAGGGCAGCGAGAGCGAGGCAGAAGGCAGCGGCAGCGAGCCCGAGAGGCCCATGGCCATGGCCAAGGCCGCGCCAAAGGCCGCACCAAAGCCCAAGGCCAAGGCCAAGGCCGCGCCAAGGCCCCTCAGCGGCTGGTGCGCCCTGCAGGCCGCGATCAAGGAGGGCGACTACAGCCACCTCTGCCTCCGAGTCCTCTGCAAGTCGGGCGAGAAGTGCCTGCAGATGAGCTGGGGCCCGCTGAGGTTCGTGGACAGCATGAACGTCTTCCCCACGAGCCTGGCCAGCATGATCGACGACCTCAGGGCCTGCACGCACAAGCAGCTGCCGGAGCTCTTCCCGCTGATGGCCTCGCTTCACCCCGAGCTGCAGCTGCGCACTCCGACGGGCTCTCCGCCTCAAAGACGGCCTCTCAAGCAGCGGCGGACGCACTGCGAGCTGGAGCAGGCGTGGGACTGCATCCTGCGCAAGCTGCCCATGCCCTTCGAGCACTTCTGCGGCGCCGAGGCGTGGGAGATGCCCGCGGTGTGCGCCTTTGCTGGGAATAAGAAATCCCCGAGACGGATCTTTCCGCCTCCAGCCCAGTGACCGCCTCTCCTGAGAATAAGAAATCCCCGAGATGGATCTTTCCGCCTCCAGCCCAGTGACCGTTTTTTCTGGGAATAAGAAATCTCCGAGACGGATCTTTCCACCTCCAGCCCAGTGACCGCCTCTCCTGGGAATAAGAAATCCCCGAGACGGATCTTTCCGCCTCCAGCCCAGTGACCGCCT